CCATAGTGGTCCTAATAAAGATTGGACTCCCAACTGTTCGCGAGAGAGACTGGCAGGCACACTTTTGTTCTGCTTCTTTAGCTCTCTTCTGTTTATATATTTAAAAAAAAAATGGTTTGGGTCACAACTCACAATAAAGCCACAATTGCTTTTTTGCTGGATATTTGTTTCACTCTGACCTGGCTGTGGCAAATCTGCTTGGGTTCTTTCTTGTTGTCTGGTGCTTGTCCAAGAGATTGAATGAGTGAATGTTTAAGAACCGAGTCTTCTGTATTTATTGACTTGGCTTAGCGGGGACCCCTGCGTTTATACTGTGCCTTTTTTTTTTTTTTTAATAGCGTGTTCCAGCCGTTAGATTATCCTGGGTCTCCCCCATCTCAGTTGCACTAAAAAGCTAATTTATTTAACAGCCTTTCAATCCTCCTTCCTTTGATGTCGCTGTTGATTGAAAATTAGCCAGCAGTAAAAGGAGAAGTGATATGCAATTCACCTTAGACTCAAAATAAACGAGATTTCACTTCTTCTAAAGGTTCCTGTCCGAAAAAAAGAGATTCTGGTGAAACCTTTTAACTTTGGTTAATTTTTACTTTTAGCTTAGCTTTCTTGCTCTCTCTCTCTCTCTCCTTCTCCCTCTCCTGTTATGTTAGTTGCAGAGAGGTTTGCTTTGCTGGACCGTGGAAAAAGAAAAATCATGTTCAGTGAAACATTTTGTGTTTTTTTTAAAGCTCCTCTTTTTAACCATTGCACCTCTTTTGAGTCTTGGTATCCCTTTCTGTGCTTTTTTACCATTTCTTCTAATTGTGCAGGACATTAACATGAAAAACAGGATCCTTGTTGCTTAGGATTTAATCTGCTTCTGCTGCTTAGTCTCCCCTCTCAACTTCCCAAGAGATCTGTTACTTAGGTAGCAGAGGAAAAGCTTGTAAAAAGAAACCCTGTGTCTTATGTGCCCCCGCACCACGTACTGTATGTGTGTGTGTATACGTGCACACTTCTTTGTGGGTCTATCAAAGTCTCTCCTACTACACTTCGCTGAATTTCTGTGTTTGAGTTTGCACGCTCTCCATCTACCTGTTTGTGGACTATCCTGAAAAAAAGAGAGCCTTAGCTACATTATCTTGCCTTTGTGTAAGTAAATAACCCTCTTCCCTCACAGGAATGCTCATAAATCTCTTCTTCTTAACATTCCTTTTTTTTTTTTAAAGTACAATCTTGGAACTTAATATTCCAGTTGGGTGCCTGGAAGGTATTATTTCCCCCTTCTTCTTCTTCTTCTTCTTTTTTGAAGGAAAAATTAGAAACGTTTTTGCTTTTCACCTGCAGATGCTTTAAACCTTACGAAGAATGAAAGCAGTAGTCAAATCTTCATAAAGTGCATATATTGAAAAGAGCTGAGATTACAGCCTTCCCCAATCTGTTGTCTTCCCAGATTGGTTGGGGCAACTTTAAGGAATTCCCCACCACCACCACCATCAGCAGGGTCAATAGAATCCTGGGAGTTGTAGTCCAAACGTGCGTAGAAAAATGTGAATGGGGAAATTTCTGGTTTTCATGGATTAAAATAAAAGCTGGGGAAATGTCCTTTATTCTCTGGAACTTTTTGTCTTGGCTTGGAGGATTGAATTATTATTGCATGCAATGGGGTGAGCTAGCCCAAGTGCAATCTTCTTTTTATACAGTAAGAATTCTAATTACAGCAGTAAAAACTTATACAAACTGGAAAAAAAAATTACAAGAATAACAAAAAAAAAAAGGGAAAAAGAAAAGGAAAATAGAGAAAGAAAAGAAAGAAAGAAAAAGGAAAATATAATAAAGGAAAATATACATATAAACATATAAAGATTGTATAAACATTTTACTAACATCATTTTGTCTTAAGGTGCAACAGATGAACTGGTTTGGATTGTCTGTCAAAAAATGTCTGCCTGTCTGTCAAAAATGGTGTAGGATCTGCTTGGGTGGGAGGTTGAACTAGATGACCTACAAGATCCCTTCCGACTGTTAATCTGTAATCTGTAATGTTCAGCAGGACGAGTAAAGGTGATGTTGGATATTGGTTTCATTTTTTCTTAAAAGCTCAGTTTACTCCCAGGAAGGGAACTGCATGAAGGAAATTTCCTTCCTTGAAGGAAACCACGGCCTGCATAAAGACCACATGTGGGCAACTGAAAATTTAAGAGCTACCTGTGAACTTTAAACATCTCCTTTTTATGGTTTCTTCTGATGATCGTTGGCAGAGTTATTATGTTTGACCATTTTAGGAAAGCTTCCCCCCCTCCCCCACAATGACAGCACTTGATATTGGTTACCCAGGGTTGGCTAATGTTTTAAATTGTTATTATTATACTTTTTATTGTTGATGTTGGGTATATTGTAAAGCTGTTGCTTTCTCTGGCTTGTGCGTAGATATAAGTGCATATCAAACCAAAGTGCATCTTACTAATTAATAACCGCCAATAACAAGCAAAGGCTGTTGAATACAAAATAACTATAATAAATGTTGACGAATATTTCCTGGGCTTCAGTTTCACACATAGTTGCTCTTTGTCCTCAACCCACTCCAGCCAGGACTGTTAAAGCCAAAATAAATAAGTCCACAGTCAGTTGGCACCACAGATTTACGTAATTTAGAACAGGACAGAAAATTCCGGTTCTGTGGGAGCAGAATTTCAGTTGCGTGGACTTTGTGATAAATCCAAGCACCGCATGTAGACAGATACTGAGGGTCACCTGAATTTGCTTTCTTGGCGAGAGATATGGGAATAACTGCTGCTTCCAGCTCTGCCAAATTGCTAATAGCTTCTAAGCTTTCCCTAACAAATCCCCCTTGGGGTGGGTTGTTTGTTAGAGATTGCTAGTGCTAATGTCCTGGATTTTGTCGGCATCTTTACACAAATAACTTAATGGAGGTGAAGTACTTAGAGTTGGCGTAGTTCTAATGTGAAGGCATAATTTAGGGAGTGGACTGCAAAATCGAAGAGTCTTCTTATCTCAAGTACCCGTATTTTTCGGAGTATAAGATAAACCTTTCCCCCCCCCTAAAAGGGAATGAAAATTTAGGTGCGTCTTATACACCAAATGTAGCCCCGCCCACCCACTGGCCCCCACCCTTTGTCCTCTGCCTCCCAGCAGTTTACCTCCTTGCAGCAAGCAGCAAGAAGAAACAGCTCATTTCAGCTTCAGCACAGACTAATTAGCACAAGTTGATTGGATCGGCCTCCCAACTCTCAGCTGTTTTGCGCAGGCCTCTGCTGCTTGCTGCAAGGAGGTAAATTGCTGGGAGCAAATTTTTTTTTTCCTTGTGCTAATCAAGCTATGCTGAAAACAAAAATGAAAGTAAAGCAGGCTGTTTGCTGTTTGCTGCAAAATTGCTGGGAGGCAGAGGCAGGTTTCTTTTTCTTGTTTTCCTCACCAAAAAAGGTAGGTGCGTCTTATACTCCGGTGCGTCTTATACTCCTAAAAATACGGTATGTTATACCTTGTTCTTCTCCTCAAGTAAGTCTTCCATTTTAGTTAACTAAAACTTAGTTAACAATAGCTAGTTAACAATAGCTTTAATTAAAGATTACTTAACATTGCTAAATCCATGCCTGACTTCTCAAATTATCCCAGTCCTGGTGTTTTCCACCTGATGCATAGATATTACGGCTTCCAGAATATGTAAACCTTACCTGCTGTTAAATGAAGAATTTGCTATCCAAATTTTGTTCTAAGACTCAGTGCACGACACACAAAAATCCTTGTTTAAAAGTAGATCCAAATTGTTACCATGGCATCAACTTGTGGAAAGTGGTGAATTTGAACTGGGGATGGTTGGGAGACTGGGTGGCCTAGAGGTGGAGCTCTTGCCTAATAATCAGGAGGCTGTGAGTTCGATCCCAGGTAGAGGCAAATATTTCTCTCTCTTGGGCAAGTTGCAAATATATCTGCTGAATATAACTCCGCATTGGCGACGGGAAGGGCAACTGGCCAGTAAACACTCAGCTCCATTCAGGGATCAAGGGATTATGGGGTCATTAAAAGAAGATGATGATGATGATTGTTGGGAGAGCTTTCTCATCAGATGTGAAACTCCCAGTTTTGTTTCCTGCCACTCTTTGATCAAACCTACTTCCGTTGCATCAATAAAGTAGGATTTTTTTTATCTCTGTAGGGTAGCCTGAGCATCTGGAGGGAAGGAAGGCGGAGATGCAAACCAGACCAATTCTAGTCTTTTTCTTCTGTAATGAAACTTGTCACTCATGCCAAATTAGCTAATCTTTTGTTCTAAATGGCAATTTAGTTTTCTCCCTATACCAGTGGCCCACAACCTTTTGGGCACCAGGGACCCATTCCGTGGAGAGAGGTTTTTCCGTGGACTGGAGGGGGCATGATTTCACATGCTGCCTGAATCCCGCGGATGGGGCTTTGCTTGTTTGCATGGCCTGGTTTTTGGCCTGGCACGGACTGGTTCCAGTCCATGGATTGAGGGTCGGGGATCCTTGCCCTATACTGCTTAAACCGTTGTCTGGATTCTAACACTTCCTCCCCAGCATGGGAGGTCCTAAAGAGTATCTCCCTCCTAAAAAACATCCCATTCATGTTGAGAAGAGACTTAGCTCTTTAAGAGCCACGGTGGCGCAGTGGTTAGAGTACAGTACTGCAGGCTACTTCTGCTGATCACTGGCTGCCAGCAGTTTGGCAGTTCAAATCTCACCAGGCTCAAGGTTGACTCAGCCTTCCATCCTTCCGAGGTGGGTAAAATGAGGACCCAGATTGTTGGGGGCAATATGCCAACTCTGTAAACCGCTTAGAGAGGGCTGTAAAAGCACTGTGAAGCAGTATATAAGTCTAAGTGCTATTGCTATTGCTATTGTGTGAAATCTTAACTATGCTCTGAATTGGTGCAGCCCGGTTAAGAGTTTTTTCCACTGCTTCAGAATGATCGAACCTACTTCCCTGAGTGTGTTTTCCTTACATATTGTTAAAAAAGTTTTTTCTTTCTTTTATTCTTCCCACAGAACTGATCTTTGAGTTGCAGTGACTCTTGGTGCCCAATTCTTGGAATTTGGCAGAATTTGCTGAAACCTGCATGCTGCTTCATGCAGACACAGTAAGTTATATGTGTTGTGTGAGTGATTGGGTGGGTGGAGGAGGAAATTAATACAGGTACCATATTTTTCAGGGTATAAGACACACTTTCCCCCCCTAAAAGGGAGTGAAAATGTAGCCCGTCCCACCCACTGGCCCCCACCCTTTGGCCTCTGCCTCCCAGCAATTTACCTCCTTGCAGCAAGCAGCAAGAAGAAATAGCCCATTTCAGCTTCAGCACAGACTAATTAGCAAAAGTTGATTGGATCAGCCTCCCGACTCTCAGCTGTTTTGCTCTCAAAACAGCAAGCTCTGCTGCTTGCTGCAAAGAGGTCAATTGCTGGGAGCAGATTTTTTTTTTTCCTTGTGCTAATCAAGCTATGCTGAAAACGAAAATGAAAGTAAAGCAGGCTGTTTGCTGTTTGCTGCAAGGAGGCAAAATTGCTCAGAGGCAGAGGCAGATTTCTTTTTCTTGTCTTCCTCACCAAAAAAGGTAGATGCATTTTATGATCCAGAGTGTCCTATACTCCGAAAAATACGCTAGTCCTTGACTTACAACAGTTTGTGTACTACTTGAAATAAAAAGAAAAAAACAGGGATTTCAAAAAAATCCCTATACAGAGTTAAGTAATTCTGTGTTTATTCTTTAATTCAAAATTATAACAGTGCTGAAAAAAGTGACTTATGACCATTTCTCACACTTACGACCGTTGCAGCATCCCCCGTGTCATCACATGAAAAAAATTCAGATGCTTGGAAAATGACACATATTTATGACAGTCACAGTGTCCTTGGCAGGGGTGAAATCCAGCAGTTCTGACAGGTTCTGGTAAACTGGTAGCGGAAATTTTGAGTTGTTCGGAGAACCGGCAAATACCACTTCTGGCTGGCCCCAGAGTGGGGTGGGAATGGGGATTTTGCAGTATCCATCCCCCAGGAGTAGGGTGGGAATGGAGATTTTGCAGTATCCTTCCCCTGCCACACCCACCAAGCCACGCCCACCAAGTCACACCCACAGAACCAGTAGTAAAAAAATTTGGATTTCACCATTGGTCCTGGGGTCACGTGATTCCCCCTTTGCGATAAGCAAAGTCAATGGGGAAGCCAGATTCACTTAACAACCATGTTACTAACTAAACAACTGCAGTGATCCACTTAAAAACGATGGTGGGAAAGGTTGTAAAATGGGGCAAAGCTCACTTAACAACTGTCTTGCTCAGCAGCAGAAATGTGGGGCTCAATTGTGGTCGTAAGGTGAGAACTACCTGTATATCATTCTCAGACTTCATATCGGGGTGAAATGCTCCCGGTTCGGACTGGATCACCCGATCTGGTAGCGATGGAGGCAGGTGGTTCGGAGAACCGGTAGCAAAAATCCCTGCCCCCCCCTCCCCATGCCCAGCTGAGCCGCACAATCTTCAGAGGCTTTTTTTTTTACTTTTAAAAGCATTTTTTCTACAATCTCTTCAGCCGAAAAAATGTTTTTAAAAGTAAAAAAAAAAAAGCCTCTAATGATTGCGCGGCTCAGCTGGGATCGTCAAAGGCTTTTAAAAGAAAAAAACCCTCTTTTTTTCTTTTAAATGCTTCTGACGATCCAAGCTGAGTTGAAAAAGCCTCTGCCGATCAGGCAGCTAGGATCGTCAGAGCCTTTGAAAGCATTTTTTTACAACCTCTTTGCCGAAGAGGTTGTAGAAAAAATGGTTTTAAAAGTTAAAAAAAATATTGGCCACGCCCACCCAGTCACATTACTCCCCCCCAAGCCACACCCACAGAACCGGTAGTAACAAATTTTAGATTTCACCACTGCTTCAGATGCTTTTAAAAATTTATTTAGCATCTTGCATGAAGCCAAGCAATTGTGTCTTCCAAACCATTGCTCATGATGTAGCATGATATATGAGTCCAATCCATGGCTTACAATCATTGGCATGATTTATTCACTAAATGGGATCTATCCAAACCATATCTTACAACCCTGGTGTGTGAATTCCATCTTTCTTCTCCAACAAGTTTACATGTCTGCGTAATTTAAACCTGTTAGTACTTGAAATGAAAACAAAACAAAAGGGATTTCCAGCAAGTCCCTATACAGGGTTAAGTAATTCTGTGTTTATTCCTTAACAGAAGCCAACTTGGATCTTCTCCAACCATTAATACCTAGTGAACGTACTCTGATTGATGATAGTTTCACCTGCTGGCACCGTAGCTTTGTCTGATAATGTCACTCATCACCTCCTCCTCTCTGTTTAATGGGTACCCAGACGGAGAGAAAGCTTATAAGCAGGCAGCTTGAGAATGCATCAAATTATTGGGCAGCGCGTGCTTCAGAAATTATTAGGAAGAAATGTTTTGGATTTCCTGCCAACATAGCATCTCTGCAATTCATTAAAGCAGCCCAATGTTTCTCAGATCTCTTTGTATGCCTGAGAAAAGGTGCCATCGTTTCTGCAATGACATTATTTTTGAGGACTTATGCAGAAATTTGAAAAAAATAGGACAGGCTGCCAGAGAGATGCCATGTTTGCACGAGATCTGAATCGTTTTCAAAGCAGGCACTGATAATTTTCTAAAAAAAAAAAAACCAAGGTCAGTTTTCTTGAGCTCCTGTCCACTGGCAGGACAAAACTATCCATGCACAACAGAAAGAAACTCATTGTCGGACTTGCCACAACTTAAACCTCTAAATAGATACGGTCCTTGGCTCCATTTGTTGAGAAAGGTATAATTTTATCAGAGATTAAGTGTATTGCAATACTTCATAGCCAAAACTGAGAATTGCCAGCCAAAATCCATAAATTCTACTTTTGCCTCCATAAACTATCTTTCACTGCCCACCCCAGTGTAATCAATCAGGTGTCAGACAAATTTTTTTTCCCATAATGGTTAGTCTTAAATCAGTTTGATGTGCAGCTCCCTCCTTCTTCCAGCTGTGTGACCTTGAGGCAGTGTCTCAAGGAGGCACAGAAGTTACTTTCGTTTCCCCAAGCATTCCCCCCTTCGTTCCCCAAGATCGTGGCAGTATGTCACTGCATATCAGAGAAGCACAAGCAAGCATAAGGTGGCAGTTGATACCCATTCGACTTGAAGAGCTTACAGTATCATTCCTCCAAATTTCCTAAAATGAGCTGATGAAGACTTCAAATGCTCAATGAGAACACAATGCTGGCTGGAGGTTGTGGGCAGGAATGGAATGTCCTTGAAGAGGTTATGGCTGGCTGGACCAGGAGCATCCACTGCCAAAATAACTTGCTGTAGATGTATGTGTGTGTGTGTGTGTTTGTGTGTGTGTGTATGCATGTGCAAGAAAGAGAGAGAATGAATCTCAAATTTGATTTTCAAATGCCAGAAATTTTAGTCCAGGATGGTAACCACTGACCCAAATCTTAAGGCTAGCTTGGCAGATCTTATAACTAAATCTGTGTTGATGGAGTAGATGTTTTGGTGTTCTTTTGCTCTTTATATTTTAATTAGTCATTGTTTTCTGATGCTGTCCTTTTTAATTATGGCTACAAATAAAAAACCTGTTCAGAATATTGACTGTTGGCTGGATTCCCTCATAATGCTGGATTTTAAATGAGAGTTTAAAAAGTGACTGGGTTCACCAAATCTGCTCATTTCAAACCAGTCCAACTCTTGTTTTTTTTTTTTTAAAGTTTTTTATTAATAATACAATTAAAAACATTGGACATGGTGTGACTTTCCGGTTTGAACATTTCCGTCAAGTTTTACCTTACAACAAATACAGTTCCTTTTTGCTATATAAGTATATTCCATCAACCACAATTCAAACACATAATTTTTTTCGTCTGTGAAGGTTACATCAATACCAATTCCATTCATATTTGTCACAGAATACCAGCATAGATATTTCTAAATGTTCAACTTATTTATAATCCTTTATCCCAACATTCCTCCTCCTCTCCAACCAATGATACATTTTATTCCAGATTTCATAATAATCCGTCTCACTCTTATCTTTGAGTTCCAGCGTCAACTCTTATCTTTGAGTTCCAGCGTTGACTTGTCCATTTCAGCACAAGTCAATATCTTATTTAATAACTCTTCTTCTGAGGGGGTCTCTTTTATTTTTCCAATTTTGTTTGAAAGCCAATCTTGCTGCAGGCCAACTCTTGTTGTTGTTAGTTGTGAAGTCTTGTCCGCGACCCCATGGACAACTTTTCTCCAGGCCTTCCTCTCCTCTACCATCTCCCGGAGTCCATTTAAGCTGCCTCAGTGACTCCATCCAGCCACCTCATTCTCTGCCGTCCCCTTCTTCTTTTGCCCTCAATCGTTCCCAGCATTAGGCACTTCTCCAGGGAGTCCTTCCTTCTCATTAAGTGGCCAAAGTATTTGAGTTTCATCTTCAGGATCTGGCCTTCTAAAGAGCAGTCATAATAGGCCAAGTCTATTATGGCTTAATGGGATATGTGAACCCAATTTAAATGAGATTCAGATAATTTAGCTTACAATTTGATCTGGAGCACTGGTTTTTAAAGGGAAGGTGGTTTGTCATAGAAGGTAGCAAAATCTTGAGGTCTGAAAGTAATAGAAAAATGCACATGGTGGATTTTGATTTGATTTAGTCCGGTTTCTAGTTAGGAAAGGATAAGCAGCTATTTAAGACCCTTTGTAGCCATCAGTATCTTCTCATATGCCAGAGGGGTCTGTAAAAGGTGAACATGCAGGCCCAAGAGCCCTAAACTCAGTGTGAAAAGCTTCTGCAAATCTTTATAGAATCTGGGCTTTCCACCAGATTTATGTCTCATTAAAAAAAATAACCTTCTTTGTGCACAGTAGTTCCTAATTAACTGAAGGGTGTGTGCCATTTTTCTTAGTACCCACTTAATGAACCTCCTTGCAAAATTTGCACCATTGGACAGGACATTTGCGTGCTTCTTTTTTCCATGAAAACCTGACATTTTAAGCAGGTCTTTTCCAGGTCTGTTCTCAATTTTCACCTCTGCAAAGAAGGCAGGAAATTGTATTTGTCCTTTTCTTCTGGGCCCCTGTTGCTGAAAGGTT